GTTCTTTAGATTCCATTTCATTATGAGATTTTTTTTTTTTTAAAAGAGTGCAGAATATATTTTATACATGATACTGTGCTCTGCTGTGATATTTATCTTCCTGGCTACTGAACACTGCTCAAGAGTTATCCTTCTCACTGTTGTGAAGATAAATGCAAGTGCACAATAATCCATCATCTATTCTTTTTCTAGATATATGGTATAGACGCAGAGAGACATTGTGCACACTTTGCTGACAAAAGAGAATTTGAGAACAGATATTAAGAACGCTTATTTCATCTGAAACCTGCACAGACTCTAAACAGCAAAGGCAGAGAATAGCTGGGACCAAAATGCAAGGGGCCAGACCTTGAGACCAGCAACATTTGCAGTGTGGGATCTGCAAGAACCGCTCGGCCCAGGAGGGCTGCATATGCTTGGTGTGGAGTAACTGCCTTCAGCAGGAGTCTTAAATGGCTGATGAACTCCTTCCCCCTTCCTTAGTACCAGAGGCTGAGATTTCCTTCAGCCTGACTACCATGCATACACTGCAATTAAGCAATGGGCCCTGATGTCAAAGGAGGCTGTACGCATGCTATAGTGGCCTCCACAGAGGGTCAGGGCCCAGGGAAGGGAGAGAATGAATGGAGTGTGCAGCCCAAGAAATACTGTCTCTTTCTGACAACACCAAAGTGGAACTAACTCATTCAAGGAGAAGAGACAGGAGTTTAATGGGATAATTAACAGTTCGCACCAAGTCAGCAGGGGGAAGTTGCAGCATTAGAGAAAAGGTTTCTAGTAGGAAATTGCCTCAGCACTTTAAAAAAAATAATAATAATAATAATGTAAAAGCAAATGATACTATACACAACTTTAATATCCCTTCCCCCTTCCATTATCAAGATTTGAATGCTAAATCTTCACCATTACAGCACAAAGTGTTACCACTGCAGCTACTAGACTAAATACAGTAGCTGGCAGCTATTATCCTGTGTAAACAAGCTACTAAAGGAGGATACATAACACACAGGAACTGAATTACCTGTGAATGAGGAGCTCAGTTTTACAGATAGCATAGCCAAGGACAAATACATGAAAGATTCTTTCGAAGGCCTTGGCTACACTGGCGCTGTACAGCGCTGCAACGTGCTGCACTCAGCGGTGTGAAAACACCCCCCCCCCACCAGCTCAGCGAGTGCAGCGCTGTACAGCGCCAGTGTAATCAGTGCCTGCAGCGCTGCACGCTTGCTCGCAGTGCTGCAAGCTACTCCCCTCGGAGAGGTGGAGTACATACAGCACTGTGAGAGAGCTCTCGCAGCGCTGGCGACGCGACTACGGCAGCGCCGTGAATTCCCAAGTGTAGCCAAGGCCTAAGAGGAAGTGACTAGGTCTTCACTGCAGATTTAACTTGGGCTCTCACTCAGGTTTCTCTTCTCACCACCCTCCTAGACACACACAAACTCCTCTCACCTGAGTTTGGTGGTTCTTTCAACCTGGGCTAGCTGGCATGGCTGAGGGTGTGCATTAAAGCCCAAATGAGGCTTTCACTTGGTCTGGTGACCTACCTGATTTGCAGATCAGATACAGGCTACATCATTAGAGTGCTGATAGTCCTTCAGTGCCTTCCCACAATTTCCCTTGTGCACCCAGAAAGACAAGCAAGTTCTCTCACAATACACTGGGGAAGAGTTCTAGAGTGACTTTTACTGCAGTACAAAAAACCATGGAATGTGCTCCTAGAAGTCTAAGAACTCACATAGCACCAGTTGCTAACTGTATCTTTACAGCGTGGCTGCTTATAGCCGGTGTAGGCTAATCATGGTGCTGCTCAACTGAGTTAACACTACAGTGAAGAGGAGAGATCAGGGTTCTATTCCCAATAGGTGTAACCTCTTGCAGAGGTATTGCTTAATAATGATTGTGAAGGGAACATAATTAGCATCAATCAGCAGAAGTGGGTCTAGAATTCATGGTGTCTTAATTCCCTGTTGTTGCCATTATTTGTATTATGGCAGCACCTACCCCTATCAGGGATCTACCACAACCTGAGTAGTGGGGAGAGGACATCAAATACATTTGTGTGGGGTGGGTGAGATCATTTAAAGGAGGTTTCTGCTCACAAGTAACTCCACATTAACAAGCATGCCCCCCTTCATTATTCTTTACCTACTGGCCTGAACATACCCAGGATTGGTCAGGTATGATACATAAACAAAAACAATAAAGGTGAACCAGGCTTTAAAAGACACAGAATAGATACAGCAGATGTGCATAACTATTTCATTGTGACCTTGATATTGCCATGATGAGACAGTGCTCCAAAAGTAATACATTTCATGCTTTCCTATGTTTGGTAGGCTCTCTGATGAACCTGCATGCAAATGGGATCTTAAGTATTTGTAATCAAGATACTATTATCTCTGAATGGGCTTTCCATTCAGGCTGCTATTCTTGTAGTTTCTAAATTAAGAATAAAAAGGAAATGTTTCAGATTCAGAATATTTCACAAATTCAGCATATTCTACTTCAGCTACTAAGAAATTTCTAAGAACAGGGGAAGACCTCATTCTAAGAAATTGCATGGGGATGAGGCAAGTGAGAGCAGTTGGCCAGATTGTTTGTTGTATAATCTGATTTTACATAAGGAAGCTTCCCTATCTCAGGTCTTGTCTACATGTGGAAACAGCAGAGTAAAGCACAATAAACTATACCACTATCACTATTCCAGAATAACTCCCCATATGGATGCACTATTCTGGATTAATTACATCAAAAGCTTATTCTACTATAGCCCTACTGATCAATTTCCCCATGTAGACAAGCCCTGAAATAGGAAACCTTTGCAGTATAGATTTTATATAACAAACAGACCAGCCAACCCCTCTGCTGCCCTCCTCCCCTTTTCCATTTTCCTGAAATTCCAAATAATTTATTATTATTATTTTAAAGGAAAAAAAGGTAGTTTTTGCTGGTTAATAATCATACAATGAGTAACCTTATAGCCAAGCTGTTTTTAATTTTCAATTCTTTAATAACATAAGATGGTAGGGTTAAAATATCCATTAATGCACTTTTGCAAAGGAGGATTTCTCAGAAATAAAGTCTTTGCTTCTTCTGAAGAATTCCGATTATATTCTTAGTGCTGTCCAAATGCCACTTATTCTTGAGTATGTTCCTTTTATATACCCTGGAGGTATTTACATGCAAGACTCTACAACCGCAAGTGACATTTCACACACAAATTGCTACCAACAATGTTGCTTCTTACATCAACAATCATCCTTAATATTGTCTATTTTTGGAGTCTGCATCAGAATATCCCTTCTGGATTAATACATTCATACTAACATGATTTCTTTTCAGCAAATAAAGAATACACGTACACACTAGATAGCTGGCGTTTACACATTTACCAGTCTATTAGTATCTAAGACTATAGCACTGTGCCACCTGTGAACACCCCAAAAGAAGAAACAGGAAAAGAATATTTGTGTGAATTATAGCAAGAAAAATATTTAAAGCAAACGTGACCCTATGGAAATGACAAAGATTTCTTCTCTAAAAAGCTTATGCCCAAATAAATTTGTTAGTTTCTAAGGTGCCACAAGGACTCCTCGTTGTTTTCTCTAAAATGGATACCTTTATTGAATAAGTATTGAACTTTGGGAACAGCATGGAGAAGTTAACATTTATATGACTAATTTTCATCCACTACAAGACATTACTATTAATACATTTCTAGTCACATAGCACTTTGAGGATCTCAAAATATTTATATAAATTTACAAAGCCTCACAATACACTTCTTGAATAGTTAAATATTACAAACATTTTTGAAAAAACAACAACAACCCTGAGTAACAATATGGTATATTCACACATTAAGGGCTTGTCTACATCAAGTAGTACTGCACTCTATGGGAATGTGATTTCTACAGGGTATTAACGTATTGCACATTAATTGGTCTGTCTAGATCCTGCTGGTGCACACTAAGGATTCCTTAGTGTGCTATAATGTAATACTGTTTGAAACAGGACTACGTTAAAGAACACTAGAGAACCTTCAGTGCATGCCAACAGGGTCTACACGGAACAATTAATGTGCAACATGTTAGTATGCTGTACAAAACACATACCTGTAGGGTACGTTGCCAACTGTGTACTTGAGACTTCAATCAATGACAAAGATGGAAATAGAATCCAGGGGCCATAGCACGACATCAGTGGGGAGTTCTCCTTAAAACTAATGGCATGGTTTGACGCCCAGGCTCCTGCCTCTCATTGCAAGACAAAATTCACCCTTATCTTTGGAAAATATTATTGAATAATAAATATTTTAGAGAGAAGGTGGATGAGGTAATATCTTTTACTGGACAACTTCTGAAGCTGAAGATATTACCTCACCCACTTTATCTCTCTAATATCCCGGGACCAACATGTTTACAACAACACTGCATACAATAGGGTGACCAGACAGCAAGTGTGAAAAATTGGGACAGTTGATGGGGGGGTAGGGGTTGGGGGTAATAGGCACCTATATAAGACAAAGCCCAGAATATCGGGACTGTCCCTATAAAACTGGGACATCTGGTTACCCTACATAGAGCAATGGAAAATATTCTAATACAGGAACTCCTCACTTAAAGTCGGCCTCGTTAACATTGTTTTGATGTTAAGTTGCTGATTAATTAGGGAACATGCTTGTTTAAAGTTGTGAAATGCTCCCTTCTAACGTTTTTTGGCCGCTGCCTGTTTTATCCACTGCTTGCAGGGAGAGCAGCCCTTTGCAGCTAGCTGGTGGGTGGTTGGAACCAGGGTGGACCAGCAGCCCCCCTGTCAGCTCCCTGCTCCCATAAGTTCCCTGTGCATCAGCTGTCCCTTCCCCCACTGCCATGTGCTGCTCCTGCCCTCTGCCTTGGAGCTGCTCCCAGAGACGCCTGCTTGCTGTATGGGGGGAAGGGGGAAGAGAGGGGCTAATGTCAAGGTGTCTCCCCCTCCCCCCGCTCCTGCACCCCACTTACCCCATCTTCCATAGAGTAGGGGGGTCACACAAGGGAGGAAGGGAGTTTCTAGGCAGTAGCTGCAGTCTCAGGTCTCAGTAAGCTGATTTAATTAACAAGGCAGTGTACTTAACCCTGGGGTCAGCTACTTAAAGGGGAAATGCGCATTTTTTCTCTCTCACACAGGGTGTGTGTCTCTGTCTGCCCTCCCTCCTTTCCTGCTGCCTTGTAGAGTGTTGTGAGAGTTAACCCTTGAGGGTTCAGTCAATTGCTAGTTCATTTAGTGGTAAGGCATTCCCTGGGAAATATCCCACCCTCTGACTCCTCCACCTCAACCAAGCTTCATAATCATCATCACTCATCATCACTGTGTACCAGTATTAAATTGTTTGTTTAATACTTATACTGTGTGTGTATATATATATATATAGTTCTTTTGTCTGATGAAAAAAAATTTCCCTGGAACCTAACCCCCTCATTTACATTAATTCTTATGGGGAAATTGGATTCGCTTAACATCGTTTCGCTTAAAGTCGCATTTTTCAGGAACATAACTACAACGTTAAGTGAGGAGTTCCTGTACATTAGAATGTAATAGGCTATTAGGGACCTTTTCAGCACAGAAATTCTTCCATCTTCCTGTCTCCACATTTTATATGGAGCTTCTTCTGGCATGCCCAAGATTAAACAGGGTGGATTTTTTTTCTGGGTCAGAGCCTTACAGATTACCGTGCAGAGAAAGTCTCAATATTTTCAGATCTCCCTTGTTCCCTACTTCTTGCTGTTCCTTGATAGCTCCTTCTAAATGAAAAAAAGCCTCACTTGAGGAAGTGGGTAAAATTACTAGGAATTTAATAGGTTTTTAGAAACTGGAAGTGCTATGGCACAGAAGAAAAAAGTTTTTATTCCAACTATGAAATCCCAGCTCTTATCAAAAGATATAAGGAGTGGATGGAATTTTGAAATTTCTGATTTACTTCCCATTGCTCCATTTCATGCTGTAGTGCTGATCGCCAGCAATACTCTGTTGTCTAAGGAATGGGGGGCCTTTAACAGTATTTGCAGAGGAGGCAGGAAGGGGTGCAAAGATGGCTTTAATAAACCTTTCTAACTTCACCTGCACTGCCAAGACAGTCCTGGCTAGTGCTTAATTTGTCATGGGCTCAAGCAATTATTTTACTTTCATAACCGATGCAGCAAGCCTAGAGGTGACGGGACTATGAACTTCCAAGCCTAGAGATGCCGGGGCTTAGCCCTGGCAAGCCCTGGCACAAATTAAGCACTGGTCCTGGGGCCATTTTGCACCCATCTGGTTAGAGCACCTGATCTAGACCACCTAGAGCAGCTGGGCATTGTTAGGGCACAAGGATGCCCCAGCCACAGGTTTTTTCCTCCAGGCCATGCCGTCTACACTGGTCTCAAGGCCACTGTGATATAAGAATGTATAGGGATTGCAATAGAGATTATAATAATGACATTATATAAATCAATGATGCAGCCTCACCTAGAATACTGTGTGCAGTACTGGTCACCGATCTCAAAAAGGATAGTACAGAATCAGAGAGGGTTCAGAGAAGGGTGGCAAAAGTGACTGGTGACATGGAAAAAAAATATGAGGGACCACGATAAAAAGATATAAAATTATGAATGGTCTAGAGAAGAAAGATCAGGAGCTTCTGTTCACCCTATCTCATAATGCAAATACAAGGGGACACTCAATGAAAAGTAAAGGTGGCAAATTCAAAGCCAATAAAAGGAAATGCTTTCTCATGAAACATGTAATTAAACTGTGGAACTCACTGCCAGAGGAAGTCCTTGAAGCCAAAATTTAGCAAGTTTCAAAGTGGAATTAGACATTTATATGGACAATAAGAATATCCAGAGTTACAACAGTTAATGCTGACATATTTTGTAAGAGATATTAAACTTCATGCTTCAGGGTTTAAGCCAATCTCTATTTATTAGGGATTAGGAGAATACCTAATATGGAGGGCAAATCATCCCATATCTGCCTAATGTGACATTTCCTGCACCTTCTTCTGAAACATCTGGTGCTGGATTCTGTCAGAGACAAAATACTGGATTAAATGCACCACAGGTCTATAGGCGGCGATTTATATGGGCCCGTAGTGCCCATGCTCCACCAATATTCCTGAAGGTGGGCTCAGCTCCACCAATGTTTGGTCCCCAGTCCCTGTGCTTTGGGGATCCCCGTGCCATGGGTTGGCAATGTGGGGCACTCTCACCTTGGGAGCAGCTCCCCCACTCCCCACAAGCAGCTCCCCCCATCCCCGGAGTCGCTGTGTGCCACGGAGAGGCCGCAGCGCTGACCCGGCTTACAGCCCATTGGCCGGGAACCCCAACCAATGGGAGCTGCAGGGGGCAGTGCCAGAGCTGCCTGGCCATGCCTTCACAGCAGAGAGGGGGAGGGAGCCACAGGCAGCGGCTCTCAGCCCTGGGCAGAGAGTGAGCAGCAGGAGTCTGTCCCTGATAGACAGACACACAGACACAGCCGGTGAGCCAGGGGGTTGTGGGGGCAGACAAGGACACAGCCGGGGGTGGGGGAAAGGAGCAGCGATGGGCACCCCGGGGATGGCATAAAATACACCAGACAGAGGGGGCTTCCTGAGGGGGCTATAGCAACACCCCCCACAGAGCAGACCCGGGCTGCGGATGGCTCCGTCCATCACTCCCCCCCACCCCACAGAGACCCACACACCCTCTGCCCCCCAAGAGACCCCAACGGCCCCTGTGCCCGTCACCCCTCTCCAGAGAGCCCCCCCCTTTGTGCCAGACAACTCCCCTCCCCCACTGCATCCCCTGCTCCAGAGCTCCCTACAATCCCCCCGTTTGCCTTGTGCCTACTTGCAGATGCAGACCTGCCTGGCTGTGCCCAGGAGCGCCGCCAGCTTTTCTGCTGCTCTAGGTGGCGGAAGGTCCCGCCCCGAAATGCCGCCCCCCACAGAGGTGGCGGAAGGTCCCGCCGCCGAAATACCGCCGCGGTCGCCGCCCCACAAATTGTAGCACCCTATGCGACCGCCTAGTTCGCCTAATGGGTTGCACTGGCCCTGGCTTTGCCTCCACAGCAAGGGAAGGGGGAGCCACAGGTGAGCAAGCCCTAGTCATCATCATCACAGGCCCAGCAATTCTCTGGATATTTAATTTCACTGAGGCAAGTCATTCAGTCTACTCTTCCTTTCCAGACAGTTTGTGGCTTTTCCTGTAAGAAAACTTACAATTTCTTTGCCAAGAAGTCCATTTATAGTTTTTTCACTTGAGAAGTACAGTATATTTTCTGGTTGTTCATAAGCTCATTTATTTTGTTAACTCAGTTTCATAGGCAATTTTAAAAGTCACTTGAATTGTACCTGGTTTTTTCCATCGGTCCAAAAACACATGGAATATGTGCAGATTTTTATTTCTGTGGGCCAGACCACCCTGTATAGAAATGTAAATGTTGGAGCCAGAAAAGCTCTGCAAGGGTAAGGGTCCCTTCAGGAGATTGTCCTCAAGTCATTCATTCTTCTGGGCATTCCTTTCTATTGTTCCTTCCTATAGTGATCAGTGTTTCTACCCACAGGGGAGAGGCAGAAGATCAACCCTGCAGTGACTCTGCCTCTACCATTATTCTCTGTCTGCTCCCTCTACCAGCCCCTTTGATCTCCCTAGGATTGTCCCTACCATTACTCCCTCTGCGTCTTCTTTCTCTGGAGCTTCTTATGAAGTAAAGTCTGTCATTACAGGTTCTTATCTCTGTAATGTATTTAATTTTGATGTATTTATTAAGTGTTAATTAATGCACTATGGGAGTCCCCTTCAGCCCTCTGTATAAATTGATCCCCTTCTTTCCATATGTTTTGCCCATAAGGTTTTCTGCAGCCCTAGAGCAGCCAGCAATAACCCCTGTGCCTTTGCAATGGGGTGAGGGAAGGGGACCATGGGTTTCCTATTTATGTGATTTGCAAGAAGTGTTATCATTACTCAAGTTACCAAATGTGTTTAAATGATATAAGTGCTGTGTAAAATCCCAAAGCAAGCTCATTTTCATTTCTCCTATAATCTCATATACAGTATACACACATTTTTCATTAATTATATGAGTTGAATTTATTATTGTTATCAGCTAGGTTACTGGGTTTTTTGTTTGTTTGTTTGTTTTTCAGTGTGGCAAAATGTGTGCTATTTTATGGGTTGAATGATTGAATGACATAATACCCACCTGCCCCCATTGTCCGTCACTAAGTCCAGTAATTTTGTCAAGTGTTCATCACACAACATGGTGGTGCCTACCCTTACCTTGTGCTTCAGGGGGTCACGGGTCTAGGGCAGCGTGGGGAGTTAGCGGGGGGCGTGGCGCTGGCAGGAGTGAGTTACCTGGCCCCAGCCCACTCCACTCCACCTCGCCGGCTCCCAGCATTGCTCAGGGGCAGGGGCTTCGGGGAAGAGGTGGAGTGGGAGCGGGAGGGGGGGGGAGAAAGAGGCGGGGCAAAGCAGGGTTGCTTGCTGCTGTCAGCGCCAGGCACCCCACTAGCCCCCCACAGGCCACCCTGGACCCCACATCCCCCTGAAGTGCGGGGTCCCCCAAAGTGCAGGGCCTGAGGCAGTTGCCCCGGTCCATCATATGGATGGGACGGATCCACTTGGGCACCACCAAAAATTATACAAACCTGCCGCCCATGCACAGGTCTGTTCAAGTGTAGCCGTTCCTATGTTCCTGTGAAGGTTCCATGTGAGTTCAGGATCTCCCTATGCTGGGGTGATCCTTCTGTGGCCATGTATACTGGTTTTAGGACATCTTTATGCCAGCAAAGGATCTGGCTTCAAGAAACCAATTATCTGAAGAGATACTTTTTTTTAAAATAGGCTGGTAGACCAGAGTGAACTTGCCATAGTAACTACAGCAGTGCTATATTCTAGATTTCATTTTCATCTGACTGATCTAGTGAACAGGAGTCCTAATTTTCTATATTCCTTGCCAGGAATTAAAAAAAAAAAAAAGACTGACCACAGACCCAATCTTCCTGTCGAAGTCAGTGGGAGTTTGCTGTTGACTTTAGTGGGAAAAGGTTCAGGCCCTAACTGTTCTAGAAAATAGTAACGTAATCTTCCCCATACTTATAAAATAACACTGCCCATTGCTGATGACGTTCTGAGAGAGGTGCAAGTCTTTCTGGGAACTGTATGGCATATGTCTTTTCCAAGAACTTTCCCACATT